CCTTTAACACACTTTAATACGATATAGATACATATATTATAAATTAATTTGTAGCTTTTTAGAATTTTTCTTTCGCCCAACAAGTTTTTGTAATTATTGTTAACTAACTTTTTCTAAGATACGGTAAACGCTAGGAAACAAATTAAAAGCGTATTTTAAAGGCCATTGTTCAACCGTCATGAATTGTTACATACCAACCTTTAGGGCCCATTGGTGACATTGGGGGGTGGAAGTCTAAATTTAGTTCATTACAATTACGTCAATGACCTTGAGCTCTGCTAGTAAGATGCTGTGGTATGGTAGCGTGTCGGGGAGAAGGGTTATTGTTCATGCTTACTCATTCGCTCTTACCCACAAACAAATTTATTTCAAGCCTAAAATGAAGAATGTAGATCTAACTTCTATATTCGTTTGGAAAACGTCAGTAAGAGGCAAGTCTAGACTGTTCCTATGTCTGCGCGGTCCATCACTAGTTACTTTCTTTACTTATTTTTTTTTAAAGCCTATGTGTCGATTATGTATCTTGAGCAATGTAAAATCAAGATGACGTTGTTCAAACTAAGATATAAGTTTGGACTTCCTTGTGTAACCAAAATGGTCGCCTACAGAGCAACAGAAGAATCTACAATTTCTTATAAAATCAGTTTTATTGACATTTGCAGACAGTTTTATATAATTGTTTTAAGGAAACCCAAAATCTATTGGCAATCATAAGTTAATATGATTTGAACTTTTTGCCTTATACAAATGAAATACCATGTGCATATTGGTCCTCTGGTCCTGTAAATACAATTTTTTGAAGGGTTTCTTTTATAATTTAAAACTATATCATTGCACAAGCATTTTCAAGGACTCTCTGCAGTTTTGCGTACTCTTGCAACTACTAATTCAAGAATCAGTTTGATGACCGATTAAAAATAATGTGTTTATACGTTATAAAGATTCAACTGTTAAATATCATAGTTTTTGAGGGTGGGACTGGAAATTTAGACTATATTAAAGATTTGCATTCATAGTAGAACATTATATACTTTGAGTAAACCAACAGAAAAAGATTGTTTAAAATTTTCAAGTTCATTTTAGAACAAACTGTTTGCTCCACCTCCCAGTTAACTGAGAATTTCAAGAAGTAGAAACATATTAAATAAATAATAAGTGAAGTTAAATATATCCCACAGTGATTTTAAAAAACATTACACAAACTTCACGGATGCCAATATACTTCTAACAACCTTACTAGGAATTTCCTAAAACTGATATTGTACGTTGAAATAGGTTTATCTATCTATCTATTCTATTCTATATTCTATTCTATATTCTATATTCTATACTATTATAAAGAAGAGGGGGTGTCTGTGTGTGTGTTTGTATGAGCTAATCTAAAAAAATACTGATCCGACTATGCTCAAATTGCACACAAATGAAGCTACAGCTCCTAGGATACATATAGAACTATTACCGCTTCGATATTCACCTAGGGCTTTGCCCCGTGGGCTTTCAAAAATCTGAGATGAGAGATTTAAAAGTAAATATTGATTGATGGTATCCATGGTAACAAAGAACAAACCTAGTAAGTTAAAAAATGTAAACAAGCAGAACTAACTGTCAAATTGATTTTGATTTCTCAATTCAACACAGCTGGTTCAAACCTTATTAAATAACGCACGAATATTAGAACAGAGAGGGTAAGGATTATAAATTTAAAATAATGATGTCACTAGCCTGAATTTATTTAACATTACCTAAAGGAGCTGTCAAACCATATGTTAATGTAATTTCATTATTATAGGATTGTTTCAGTTACAGTACTTCATTTGTTTATGATCTAACTATACTGAGTCTGTTATAATATTTGTGAAATGTTGTAATATTATTTATTTATTTTTATAATAATTCATTTTAAAATAAATCATTCAATGGATATAGGAAATAATCAACATTCTATATTGCCCTATCAACCTAGGCCCTTATCCTGAGTTATGGGGTATATTCTTTTGATTTATTTGTTTGTAAACAGTAATATAATCCCCCTGCCCCAGCAAACCTATAGACTGAGCCAATTCCCGTTTGCCTGATTATAATTTCACTAAAATATGTTAGAAAATTGCCCTATTAACATGTTTGGAACTATTGTGATAGGTTTTCGTTTACAGTGCATACCATTAAACACATTCTTTTATTATAGGTATATGTGTGCCACACTATAGGATACCGTATAAATTAAAAGACCATATTTTCTTAGACCGTTTCCTCTCCCATCACTGCAATGATCATGTTCTACTTATATGCCAACCCCGTACGAAGGTCGGGTATTCTACTAGTTATTAATAAAGTTGAGAATACTAAAGGTTCTACAAAACAAAACATTGAATAATAAAAATACATTTGTATGAAAGTAACAGATAGATTGACAAAATTGTAAAACGATCGTATAATATCTAACAATATCAAATTATTTACAGTATCACGGTTACAACTTTTAAACTACTTTTGTTATGACTCAATGTTAACCTCTTTAGGACCTTTCATTTTATGCTTTTGTTAGTGGGGACTGGTTAAAACACCACAGTAGGTTTTACAAATATGATTGTGAGATGATATTATAATCTGAACTAGATTATGCGTGTTGATAATAATATGTATTTTAATTTAAGTACTTTAATTGATTCGGTTATATGTTTACCTCATATAACATTTGAACATGGATTGAAACATTAGATGTCTTTGGAATACTCTGAGAGTGAGAAGCAAAACATAACTTTCAGCAATGATGCATCGAAATCTACCTTTACTGACTGATTCAGAAATGTAATTGCAAAATATTTTGTCAACATGACTAAAATGTAAAAAAAAAATAGATGTATCAGCACGAAATAGTTTGTAAGATAAAAAAAGCAGTCTAGGACAACTTATATAGCGTTCTAACCTCAAACATTGTTATCGTTTCAGTTTACAAATTCAATTGATACAAAATAACTGCGTTACCAATTTATGTTTGTAAACAAAAATCAATTTTTTAATGGTTGCGTAATAGCTATTTACATTACAAGTGTAGTAAGAGCGTTTTTACTTCACGCAGGTGAATGTTGTGCAACGAGCGGAAGCGAGTTGCATAATTCACCTAAGCACAGAAAACGTATTACCTAAGTGATGTAAACAGCACGCTCTTGCGTAACGTGTAACGTACAAGATTTTACCTGACCCGTCAATAAACATGGGTTTACGTACAATATTTTTCATTATCCATTTCACTCATCTTCTATCAGTAACGTTCTTTTACTAACAAAAGCTAGGTTAGGTAGGAAAATACTTTAAAGTATAATAATAACATTCAAGCGCACAGCTGATTTCTAGCGTTGAACATCGTTGGCTCCATAGAGTTATATTTTTTAAGTTAAGCACTCAATGTTATTTAAATGGGTTTCTTTACATCACCGAGTGAGTTTTTGATACTTTACATCACTCGAGAAGTAAGGAAGTTGTATACATCACGCTTGGGATAGGGAAGTTTAACATGGCGGGTTAGGTAAATCAATTTAAATTATTATTTACTACACAAATTATTTGTAATGTAAAACATTGTTCACCACTCGGAGCAAAAGTACATTATTTATGGTACTTAAATTGTTTTATAGTACGTGGCAGTATAGTATTATTAGTTTATTAGTTGCTTGTTGCACTGTTCTACACACTGCTCAAGCTCTACAGCTCATTAAGTGGCATCCTGTCCACACACTGTTGATATATACTGAATTGTGGCATGGTGCCACTATTTCGAGTGTAGGCTGGCGCGAGAATTGGCAACGTAGCATTAGGAAAGTTATAGTTCCGGCGGACGGCGCGAGGCGCGCTAGCTACCTGTATGGTTTCGTGTTCCACAATTCGGTGTGTACCTGCGCTACTTAAACTCACATCAACGAGTTCAAAAATACTCAATTGTGGCATGTGATGTTTAAACGACGTACTAATGCTGGAAAACCTCAAAAATGATCGAATTAGCTGTGGCACCCTGAAAAAGGTGCCACAATTTTTGAAGGTGCCACAGTACGGCCGTGTGCCTGTGAAGGATGCCACTATTTGGTGAATACAAACACACACACACACACACACGCACACGCACACACACACGCACACACACGCACGCGCGCGCGCGCGCACAGACACTTCACACTGGGCATCCAAAACGGATACATCCACCAAAAACTCAAACTCGAAAAATGTTGACGAAAACAATACTTTTTCATATACTATGGTATAGGGGGAGAAAGTAAAATTACCCATGCGTTGTTTAACCATACAGCAAAACCCGTATAGTGTGCAAGGAGCGCAAGCTCTTTATAATCACTCGGTATGGACGTAAAAGTTTAGGCTTAATATAATATAATAACCTAAATATAGACTTAATGTTTTTTTTTAATACAGGGTGTTCTAATACTAGTTCAAATCTCGGAAATATCAAATACAAACAAGAAACATGTATCACATTATACATCATTTTAAAGCCCTATTACAATTAAACATTTTAGTGAAAACAAAACAAAATTATCTTTAGCTGTTTTAAAATAGCGGCCACTTTTTTGAAAAAAGTTTGAGATTTGTGGAATAACCTGTATTTTTCATGAAATTGCAGATATCTTTACCCTGATTCAAATATCGCATTCATTATATGATCTAATCTTTATTCAACGTTTAAGGTTAGGTTAAATCCAAGCGTTGAACGAAATGGGAAACACTGCAACAGCTGACTGTTGCCAACTTATTTTCAAGCGTACATGTATTACTTGCCTAATAAAAATAAAAGCATACTGTTTTTTTATCGTTTGGTTGGAATACTGGTGTGAGGCAAAAGTAAAAACAGTGCGGGAAAAGCAGGTAAATGCAGAAACTTGCAGCTTTCTGTACTATAATCAGTGCAAGAAACCCCACTTTGTCACGTGACTGTAGGAAAAGTATATTGATTTAAATATAATTAAACTCTGCAATGAAATGTTAATTTTCAGAGTTCTATTTTGGAGTGACTGGGGAGACGACTCCAGAGTCAACTCAGCAGGGCTTGATGGCAAAAAAATGAAAACAATTGTTTCTTCAAACATTTACTGGCCAAACGGATTAACATTAGATTTATCTAAATCAAAACTTTACATCCTGGATGGATTTTTATCGACATTATCATCATGCAACTATGATGGCTCTCAGGTTACAGTTCTTAGCAGATCTCCAGACAATTTTCAACAAGGTTTCGGTTTAACATACTACGCAAACACATTGTATTGGAATTCTTGGCGCCATCGGGCTTTGTTTAAAATGAATATAGACGAATTACAAAGAGAAACTGTACTTCAAGTGAATGGTGTAAGTTATTAATATTTTAAGTAATCATACAAATTATCCTTTGTATTTAGAACTTCATTTATCATCATTATACAAGATGAACTAATGGCAAATTCCAGATCTTTTAACTTATATTTCAAGAGTTTAAAATGTAGTTATACCACAATACTGACTTTAAACTATTAATTTTATAGTTCATCATCTAGGCTTATTGTCTGGGTAGCCAAGTGGTTATAATGCTTAACTTCAAATCTGAAGGTCACTGGTTTGATTCCAAATGAGATTGTTTCTATACCCAGGCATTACCGAACTATAGCGAGAGGGACAATAATAAATAATACAATCTAGAAATAAGGTCAACCTAAGAATAGTATAAGGACCAGAGTTTGACCGTTCACAAAAATATAAAAAAATGGCTTGGATATACAGAAAAAATTGAAAAGAGCATATATTGACATATCAACTAGTCAGATATTTACAAATCTATAGCTTGTTCACCCAAAGACATAATGAATACACCGAACCTAATGAAAGTCAAAACAAAGAGTCTTAAAATGAAAAGAAAATTGCAATAATCTCTGTTATCGTAATTTTTCAACTGATTTATAAACAAAACTTAGACAATTTTGTGGAAAAACTAATACCTAGTACAATTTTGTAGCAATGCAACGTGTACTATTAAACCTACCTTACCCTTTTGTTTTAATTGAATAAACGCTTTAATTACTTATAATCTTTAAGTATTTTAATTAGTTTTTTTTATTATTTCAGTTGCGAGGGATTTTAGAGCGAATGATGGGGTTGAAGGCGGTCCATGCCAGTCTACAGCCAGCCCTGCCCCAGACAGTGCAGGATCCCTGCAGCAACAGTAACAGTCAGTGTACCCATCACTGTCTAGTCGGTAGAGATCTCACCCCAACCTGCATATGTGCTTTTGGATACAAACTGGCGGCTGATGGCAAGACGTGCATTGAAGAAGGTAATTGCAACAAAACTTTAATGATGGCTGATTTTTGCTCTTAAAAACTAGATTAAAACACATTTACACGCATTATACATTACCCGTACTAAACTTTTTTTCTATTTCAACAGGCTACCTTTTGGTCTCTTGGAGGCTAACTATTAACCGTTTATCTATGGATGGTCATGATTTGGAACCACTCATAGACACTACAAAGGCAGCTATATCACTTGGATATCATTTTAAAAAGGGTTTGGTATTTTGGAGTGATGTGATGGAGCATAAAATATACAGGTAACTATGTTTAACTCATTTATTTGGTAAGTAAATATGATAACTCGTATCGATAAATTCTGATTGATTTTCCTCTTTAAGCTATCAGTACCATATAGAATATTTAAAAGTTATCAGTATATTGACTTAAATTCATTATAGCCTATGTCTTTTCTTTAAAATGTGAAAAATAACATTTTACATCAACATAATTTAATTTATCCTATGATAAAATGTCAAATAACTGTTCAATTTTGTTTGATTGTCAAGATAAGAACTAGTGTCACTAACTATGAACTAAAAATTACAGTGTATCCCTTGATTCATTGATCCTGATAAAAAAGAAAATAACTATTATTAATAGCTATATCACTGCTGTTTCGTCTTAATATAGCTTTTTTTATTTTAATTCTGAAATTATACTACTGCACTGTAGTTTTTTAAGGAGTGGAAAAACCTACAACTACACCACTGCTTCTGCCAAATGAACATTTGTGATTGATTTTAAAATAAAATACAGTTTGTTGTTTCACTTGTAAGAGTTACTCAAGTATCAAATGTGGCGATGCATAATTTAAGCTTAAACAGGGTTGGTTTAGATACTGAGATAAATTGTTGTGTCAGGGCTCCTCTGGACCAATTAAACAACAAGTCTGTGGTGGCTTCGCCACATACTTGCGATGGTCTGACTGTAGACTGGGTACATGACGTCATCTACTGGACGGACACTGAACATGACACTGTGGAGGCAGCCCAACTAGACGGCTCCAAACATCTCATCCTCTTCGACACAGACCTAGACAAGCCACGAGATATCGCTGTTGACCCGCTTGAAGGGTAATACTTTTTAAAATTAAATAAATTTATTATTTCACCATAAATTATTATCTGATTGAGTACATTTACAATTTGTTTGCGACATATTTATTTCAATGACTTAAAGGAGGTAAACATTGGACTGATTTGGAGCCAAACCCTTCTTTGAACTAAAACGGTCACCTGAAGTTATAAAAAAATGAATTGATACATTGTAAAACCACAAAACACCGATAGGTGTGCCAAATTAGTTAAATTAAGGAACACAATCTCTGTACAAAATAAAAAAAAGATTATACAAACCGGATGTGATTTGTTTGTCTGTTTAGACATTTCAAGGTTAGCCACCATTTGCTTAATTTCGAAAAGCTAAATTTATATTTTTGACTACCCCGAAAAATAAAGGAATGTCCCCCATTTAAGGTTTTCTCTAATTCTCAACGTTTCCGATATACCAATAGTGGTCTCCTTGAGTTGATCGTATACCTCAACACCTGTTTTACAGAATGCCAATCTTGGATACTGTATTAAACGTTTGACAATTGTTTAAGTTGTTATTTTGAATCTCAGTTTGTAACCATCCTGAGCTTTATTTTAGTTAATATTTATATAAGATAACTTATTTATTAACTAGTGCATTTACTTAACTGCATGGTGCATTTCCAGGTTGTTGTTCTGGACAGATTGGGGTGATACGCCAAAAATTGAACGCTCAACTTTGAATGGAAAAGAGCGTAAAGTTATCATTGATTATGATCACATATGGCCAAATGGAATCACGCTTGATATCCCATCCAAACAAATTTACTATGTAGATGGGAAAATTGGAACCATTTATAAAACCTCTTATGATGGATCACATAGAGAAGTTGTCTTTTTGTCATCACCGACAACATCCTTGCATTTGTTCGCAATAACTCTTTTGAATAACGAACTTTATTGGACAGACTGGCAGTCTAGATCTTTGTACACTTCGCCAAAATATAACATTACTGTTGCGAAACAACTTTTTACTTCAAAGCATATATTATTGGTAAGTAATAAAAAAATAAAGTTAAAACCCTAGAGTGGTCTTGATTTTGATCACACATTTAGTGTCTTCGGTCTGTGAGACCGTTTTCGGTATTTTTTAACTTTTTGTATATACTATAGTTATGTAGTTATATAACTATAATCATAAAAGATAAAACTGTGTAGAATTATTACTCCCATATATGTTTACATTTTTATGGGGTTTATCGTGAAATAAAACCCCTCTGAGAGTTAGTAAAATATGTTAAATAACTTCTTGATCAGCATTGTACGTGTTATTAAATTTATGGAAAGTAAATAAGAGAAACGTCTTATAACACTTATAACGTATCTCTTATAAATACGTTTATAAGAGATACGTCTTATAAACGTATTATCATCTTATAATTTTTTTTTTTAATTTTAAGTGTTATAAGACGTTTCTCTTATTTACTTTCCGTAAAATATGTTTTAAAGAACTAATAGATTTATCTTAGTTGATAAAATAAAACATTTAAAAAATACTTTTTTTCAATTACTAAAACCTTTACTGATGTATTATGAAAGTTTATGGACTAATTAATGTAAAAAAACATGATCCATCAGAATTCTGTCTATTTTTAACGTTTGATAAAGCCTTGATGAGCCTATGCCTTTGGTGTCTTCGGACTGTGAGGCCGTTTGCGTATTTAAAAAATATTGTATGTAAATAACTATGGAAATACAAGATAGAAACTGTGTAAAATGGTTACAATTATATAATTTTACGTTATATAAAAGTAGTAAATAATAGTATTATACATATAATTACATTATATACAGTACTATTATTCAATTTAGGTGTCTTCGGTGTATGGGACCGAAGTACACAATTGCAGACGAATCTATAACCTCAAAATTACGCCCTCGCGTCTGGTGATAGACTTGAGTCAAGGTAGGAAGGTAGCAGGAGACACAAGTCCTGCACCCTAGCGGGGGACCAGGAACTTGAAAATATTACGTCATCGGAAGACACCACTCTAGGGTTAATGTACACTGGAATATTTTTTTATGTTACGATTTACTGCCAAGCACTGAGAAAAATCGGTAAAATGTATTACTTTCAATATAGGTTAATACTTTAATACTTTACTTATATTTGCTTGTCATTAAAGCTATATTAATGTATCATTATTATTTCAGACTCCGAATGGAATCAAGGCAGTTCATTCATCTCTTCAACCAACAAAAGAAAACCCTTGTGCGAAAGTTAATTGTAAAAACTTGTGTCTAGGCACCAAGTTCCAAACTGCTGTTTGTATGGGAGAAGAGGAAAAACATGAACCCCATGATGGTAATCTTTAAAAATATGTATACCGTCCAAGGATTCTGCAGTGGTAGAGTAGGAGGGTGGTGGAACACATCATCACTAGTTCATTGACATTTGTGCAGCATTTAAATGACGTTTTAGGCTTCTCATTGACGAGGGTGTCATTCTATATCCCTCACACTCAGCCAAGGGTGCCATGAGATATATTTTTATGCCACTGTGTTCATGCAACTACTGTATATCAACCAAAATGACCAAAGGGTAATGTTAGCTTAAGAGGAGAAAGGGTATAATTGTCAATTATTTGGCTAATATCACAACATTGTGTTTGAACTGTCTGCTTATTCACACATAGTCTCACACATTTATTCACCTGAGGAAGAAGAGCTGTTATTTGTAAAAACGGCGTTTGAAAACCTTAAGGTTACAGAAATTTCTCGTAATAATGTAAATTTTTAAGATACAATACACAAACAACTTGTTTAGTTTACTAACTTCATAATACTCTTAAGTATCTCTGTAAATGTTAGTTTAATGTCTGTGTGGAAAATAGATGGATTCAAGACAAACGCTTGTGTGAAGTACAGGATTTCAGCCACTAGAGCCGCTTTAGTAAATGGGCCCAGGGGTGCAAAGAAAATATAAATTCTCCTGCAAGGAAGGGGGGCACAAATATCTCCTGGGCTAATAGCACGTTTCATGCTAACTGTCGGCCCGAATGCAGCAAAAGTACTTTTTACACAAAAAGTACATTTTAAATTTTGTAGCTACCACATAACACAATAACCCATATTATGGTAGAGTTATAAGTATCTTGCTGATGCAACAAAAGAAGACATTATTCGTTCCTGTGTTAAAATTTTTAATTTATTTTCATAATGAAAGGTTTGTCAAAATATGCTTATGATTTTTCTTTCATGAAGTAGAAGTAGTCATTGCAACCTCTCGTTAAACAAGCTTTTTAATTATATGTGTCTGACGTTTTTCAAATATATTGCAGTAGTACAGATCTAAAATTGTTGCTTTTAAGGTTTAAATTAGATTTATTTTTTATATTTGAATCATTATCTTATGTTCATAAGTTACTAAAAGTTGATATAAAGCTGATTTTTTTTCAGCTACTCCTGGTAATCTTCAGTTTGTGAAAACTATATATAATGACTCCATTACCATTACGATGGCTGAAGACATGAAGCTAGCAATTGTCCTCGTTGATGTTCGAGTAAGATCATAATGACTGTTTTTGTTAATGTGCAATGTATTCTCTTATTAATTATAATCCGCAGACTATAATGTATTTTAATCAAGTTTAAAAAGTCATATTATCATAATCATCATCATCGTCATCATATAGGGTGAGTTTCTACTGACCGTGTTAACTTCGCCAGTGGGTTCTACCCACTAAAAGGAACAAAAAAGTTTATGGGAAGGTATGTCCGAAAATCCATATTTACCCAGATATCCGCCATTTTGTTTTTTATACAAAAATATTTTTATCTGTGAAGTTTTTTATTCGATGATTATGAAACTTGGTAAACATGTTACCATACACAAGACCTATAATAGAAAAAATAATAAAGTTGTTCCGATGGTAAATTTCAAAATGGCGGCCGTTTGAATTTTTCTAACTTAAATAACTCGAAAACGGCTAATTCTATGAAAAAATGTCAAGAATACTTTTTTTTAGCATTTTTAATTTCCTATCAAACGATACCAAGATCAAAAAGATCGGACAAAAGATTACTGAAATAAACCGGTTTTTGTTTAAAAATAAGGCAAAAATTAAGGGTTCCCCGACTAACTTTGCCTTATTTTTACACAAAACCCGCTATATTTCAGTAATCTTTTGTCCGATCTTTTTGATCTTGGTATCGTTTGATAGGAAATTAAAAATGCTAAAAAAAAGTATTCTTGACATTTTTTCATAGAATTAGCCGTTTTCGAGTTATTTAAGTTAGAAAAATTCAAACGGCCGCCATTTTGAAATTTACCATCGGAACAACTTTATTATTTTTTCTATTATAGGTCTTGTGTATGGTAACATATTTACCAAGTTTCATAATCATCGAATAAAAAACTTCATAGATAAAAATATTTTTCTATAAAAACAAAATGGCGGATATCTGGATAAATATGGATTTTCGGACATACCTTCCCATAAACTTTTTTGTTCCTTTTAGTGAGTAGAACCCACTGGCGAAGTTAACACGGTCAGTAGAAACTCACCCTGTATATTAAAATACATTAAAACGTGGCAGGGTTTTTTTAATTCACGATTCTGAATCAACCACTTAGTGGACTTTCATAATTTTTGTGTTGAAAGAAAGATAATTTTGAGAACTAGGGAATGTCGAAGCAATCATTTTAATTTAGGGTTGCAGTATTTTGATAATTAAGTTTTAAATTTTTAAAAGTCTAGCAGCCGACGCTAACGTTTTACACTAGCTTTTGGTATAATTCCATTTGCTTAACGTAGCAGCTGCAAACATTCAGAGTTTTCGACACAAATTCAGCATTTGGATGAACATGAAATGACATACGTAGGGTTGACTTATTTATACATGTGTAATGCTATAATCATTGATACGGTCATTTATTCGGTAAGGGGATGATAGATAATTTAAATATACATAGTAAAATACTAGATGTTCTAATTTATTTTTTTGAACAGTCTATAAAATCTTTAGTTTGTTTTAGTGCGATATAATTTGTTATAACCAACAGCTGATTGAATATAAAAATATTCTAAGAACTATGAGGTTAGTTTATTTACTCTGTGATTTTCGGAAAGTAAATAAAGATACGTCTTATAACACTTAAAACATATATTTACGCTTATACTGTTACTCACAAGACGGTAAATACAGGGTGGCTGAAAAGTAACTTGCACCCCCCTTAACTTTTCAACCATTAGAGATATTTTAAATCTGTTTGTGGCAACCTTCTTAGCTATGAGGGGCTATAATTATTATGGTCAATTTTGCAAATTTTGCCCTTAGTAGGGGGTAGCTCAAAATTTTCAAATGACAAGTATAGTCGAGTTTGATATCACTTTACAGGTCTTGACGAAACATACAAATCTGCATAAAGAAAACCAAAATCAGCCAACTAATAATAAAATGGCGCCCTAAAACGTTTTAAACCCAAATAACCATGAGGGTGGCTTAAAAAATTAACTTGCACCCCCTTTAACTTTTTAATTATTTGAGATATTTGAAATCGGTTTGCGGCAACTTGTTTGGATATGAAGGGCTACAATAATTATGGTCAATTTTGAAAATTTTGCCCTTAGGGGTAGCGAGGGTTAGGGGTAGCTCAAAATTTTCAAATAGCAAGTATAGTCGATTTTGGTTTCATCTTACAGGTCTTGACGAAACATAAAAATTAACATAAAGAAAATATAAATTGGACCTTTAATAAAAAAATAACAGCTAAAAAAAATAAGACAATGGTTATTAAAAGTAATTTTGAACTGCCATTTTGTTATTAATGGTCCGATTTCTATTTTCTTTATGTTAATTGTTAGGTTTCGTCAAGACCTGTAAAATGATACCAAACTTGACTATACTTGCTATTTGAAAACTTTGAGCTACCCCCTACCACCGCTACCCCTAAGGGCAACATTTTCAAAACTGACCATTATTATTGTAGCCCTTCATTACCAAACAAGTTGCCGCAAACCGATTTCAAATATCTCAAATAGTAGAAAGTTAAAGGGAGTGCAAGTTAATTTTAAGCCACCCTCATGGTTATTTTGGGTTTAAAACGTTTTTGGGTGCCATTTTATTATTAGTAGGCCGATTTTGGTTTTCTTTATGTCGATTTGTATGTTTCGTCAAGACCTTTAAAGTGATACCAAACTCGACTATACTTGTCATTTGAAAATTTTGAGCTACCCCCTACCCCCACTAACCCCTAAGGGCAAAATTTGCAAAATTGACCATAATTATAGCCCTTCATAGCTAATTAACTAGCATTAATTACTACATTCATAGCTAATAAGGTTGCCACAAACAGATTTCAAATATCTCTAATGGTTGAAAAGTTAAGAGGAGTGCAAGTTACTTTTCAGCCCCCCTGTATACAGAAGATGGCAAGTGGTGATCGATTTTGATTGGACACTCCAATCATCATCAGACCCAATAGGCGAGATCCGTAGAGATAATTAGACCACAGAGATAAATAAGACCATTGCTGTATACTAATCGAGGCTCTACCCACGAGCCTTCAAAGAAAAGGATATGCAAATTATTTTACTGCTCAACTATTTTAAGGACTATATAATAAATCTGTAAGGAATATAATAACTATTAGTTGGCCAGGAGCGTTGCGTCTCCTGAGCGCCGAGTCTCCTCGGGCCTTGCCCCATAGGCCTTCAAAGTGATAGGGTATTCCTTAAAAGATAAGAATGAACATATAGCGTAACGGTATTTCACATTTTCTCAACAATTTGGAAAAATGGAAAAGACACCTTTTTTTAATAGGACTCATTTCTGGAACTATCATAATAACCATAACCTGTCAGAAATTGGCACCATCACCTCTTGAACTAGCTACATCATACAAGTGTAAAGACGTCCTACTTGGTAATTATTAGTATTATTCTGAAGAGTTTTAAGCACCAAACCCAGTAACTCAAACTTAATTTTAAAATCACAAAAACACTGTCATGGTTCAGATAGTTGCACTATCTGAATTGATTGCTTATCACAAAACACAATACCTAACATAAATGTGGTTTGTATCTTTGTTTCAGTGTTTAGGCAGAGAAGGTTGTCCCGATGATGTTCCTTGTTTTAAAAAACCTATAAGTCCATCAACAAAGACTAGGTTATATTTACATGATACCAGAGATATCATAAATATTACAGATCTGTTACCTGCATCTCATTATGAAATAGAAGTAACGTTACATACTTCACCTCCTGAGGTCAGGATTTTCAACATTACAACCCTTGCCACAGGTGAGTAGAACATATCACTTTTTGTATGACTAACTTTGTACTACTTTCTGCATTAATCTATAAGAAACAGCAGGATTTAGTCAGTGATTCACAGCAAGAAACTAAATGTATAATACAATTTTACACTTCCCACACTAGCACATCGTCTTCAAAAGCATTCCGAATATTTTTCTCTTTTGAGACACCAAATTCTAAACAATCTATATATATATATCTATCTATATATAATACGCTAAGCCGATTTTTGTAAACAGAACTCCTTCTTCATTTTTGGACCGATTTTGATGACTAAAATGACAAAGAAATGGCCCTGATCTGTAGTTTTGCAAAGTGTTTTTCATTTTTTGAAACTTTATTAGTTTGGGCAGGATCTTCCATCAAAGTTGGGTTTTCTCCCATAAGATTAACATGAGGAAATCTAAATATTTAATTGGAAACTTTGTCTCCACAAATTTGAGAGAACGGCTGGGCGTAGAAACATGGTAGGGGTGTCCAAAGAAAGGTCTTTTTCTGTAGATGAGTTATCAAAAGAAAAACGAAGTAAATTCCCTTAGGGCTCTGCCCCAGAAACCTTTAAAGATCTCTCCACAGATTTGTTTACAGTTTGGCCATATGGATAGTAATTTTTTAATGAAACAGCTTTAAATTGTATTTTAAACAACACAAATTTATTGGGAATTACTGAATTGTCCAAAAGAAGTATTTGCAATGTTATTTTCTGATTTTAAATCCTTTTATCACAGTAACTCTTACAATTATTTCTTATTGAACTATCTTATATCTATTTTACGGGTTGGTGTCTGCCTTTTTCACCACTTTTGCCTATATTTTATCATATTATTCTAGACAGATCATCATAGGTTCATGAGATTATTGTCATACATGTTTTCAATCATTGGATAAATCTTTGATTGTGTAATAATGTTAAGAAAGACTTAGTAAACCAAAAGTATGGCTTTTATTCATTCAAAATTACAACCAAGTTTTAGTTAAGAACAAATACAATATTTACAAACAAATCAAATTAATATTATCAGGTTATAATGTCCACATCACCACATTCTCCCCCAATATTTTTCAAGGTATGTATAATATATGTAATCCTTTAGATGGAGGCTTGACATTCCTCTTTGGACGTAGTTCCCCCACAGCTGCCTCTGAAGTTGGGGTCTGAGATGCCGTTTGTTGAGTTTCATTTTGAACTTCATTGTGGTCAATGTCTGCATTTATATTTTCAACATTCTCTCTCTCAGGAGTGTTGTCTTCAGGAGGTAGATCACCAGGAGGTAGGCCAGCGGGTGCAAGATGTCTCGGGGATACTTGTGATTCTGACCCATCTCTTCTTCTGACGAGAGCGTACTGCGGATTTTATTCCAAAAGTTGAACTGGCTCCACAGGGTCATCATATTTATTAGATCTTTTAAACTTTCTAAGCAGGACAGGACCAGGAGCAGATAGCCAAGATGGTAAGGAGTCTCCATTGGTAGTTAGCTGCTATGTATAGAGAATCTTTCGTGCGGTGTGCAGTTTGTCGCAGTGCATGAAAGAGATCTGACTGAGTGAAGAGCCTCCTGTAATACTTCTTCACATGCAGCAACTGGCAGGTTGTGGGTTTTTAAAGCTAGTAGGATGGTTCGCCATATTGTTCCATTAAAGCGTTCAATCTGAGAGTTCCATCTAGGGTTATAAGGTGTCGTATGACTCGTAGCTACTTCATACTTGTGAAAAAAGTCCGTCAGCTCACGCGACATAAAAGATGAACCTCTATCTGAATGTACAAAGGACGGGGCTCCAAACATAAAAAATAGATCTGAAAAACATTTGATTACTGTTGCTGAACTAATGTCCTTACAGGGGTAAGCAAATACAAAACGAGAATACTCATCCACCATGGTTAAAAGGTAACGGTTTCTTGTTATTGATGGAAGGGGGCCCTTAGAGTCAATATTTAGACGTTCGAAGGGAGTGGTTGCCTTTATCAATTTTCCTTGGAGTTGGTGAAATCTTGGTTCCACTTTCTGCACATGTTTGACAAGCTGACGTCATTCTTTTTACATCATCCAGAGTGTAGTTTAGATTTTTAGTTCTAATCCAATGATACTTTCGAGTGACTCCTGGATGGCAGAGAGATTTGTGTAATTCAAACAACTTACATTGTCCCAGCGAACCGCACATGCCCGAGAGAGGGTATCTGCTTTCACATTCTCCCTAACAGGTCGTTACACTATTTCATATTGGTAAGGTGTTAGCTCTAGTCGCCACCTCATAACTTTGTCGTTCTTGATTTTGCTTGTATGCCTCTTGCCAAAAATAAATGACCGATAAGAAATGGTTTCCATTTTCGAAGGGCTTCAACAATGGCAACGGCTTCTTTTTCAACAGCTGAATACAGCTTCTCATATTTGTTTAGAGTCCGTGAGAAAAAAACGATTGGCAGATTATCTTGACTCAAAGTTGCTGCCACGGCTAGGTCAGATGCGTCAGTCTCCACTACCAGTGGCTCTTGCCCATTCCTAGGAGTAATTACTGAATTTGCAATGTCAAGTTTGAGGGCTTCAAAATCTGCAACCGCTTCCTGTGACAAAGGAAAAGAATTGACTTGTGTCAGGTTTCTTATTTTATCAGAAAACCGATGTATCCATTTTGAATAGTGAGCGAAAAATCCTAGGACTCGCTTTAGTGAAACTTGGTCATTGGGCACAGGAAGTGACAGTAGAGGTTCTAGCCGTACTGGATCAGGGCGAATAGAGTTATGGGAAACTAAATGACCCAACAAAGTTATTGAAGACTGGTTGAACTTGCTCTTTTCATTGTTGATTACAAGTCCGTACTTAGTTACAGCATCTAAAAATGTTCTTAGATTCTCATCATGATCCTTTTCATCCTTTCCACATACGGTCAAATCATCCAGATAGGCATAAACTCCATTCAGTTTTTCTTTTCTAATGATTTGGTCCATGGTCTTTTGAAAACAAGCCACCTCATTGGTTACACCAAATGGGATTCTTCTGAATTGAAAAAGACGGCCAGCAGCCTCAAAAGCAGTGTACTTCTTCTCTTCGTCAGAAATTGGTATTTGATAGTATGCTTGCTTTAGATCAATGGCACTGAAAACCTTGTTCGTCGCTACAGTGGATACTAGATCATCTATGTTTGGTAAGGGATAGGCGACTAAAAGAGTAAATTTGTTTATCGTTTGCTAATAGTCAACACACACAGTCGCTTCTTCCCTTTGTCGTTTGTAACAACCAACACTTGTGCACGCCAAGGTGACGAACTAGGTTCAATGATCTCCTCAGTCTGTAGCTTTTCCACTCATTGTTTTATAAATTGCATGTCTTCATCTGAGTAACGTCGTGATTTTGTGGCTATCGGCTTACAATCTGGAGTTAAATTGCAGAATAGTTTGGGTGGTTCAACTTTGACACAGGAGCACACCAACAGGGGAGGTTTCTCACCTCCAAACCAAACCTGTATATTAGAGTGGAGTTTCATGATATCATGTCCGATTAGAACATCAGTACAAAGATCTTCAAGAAAAGTCAACTTAAAATTGTTGTAATTGTGATTCAACAGATTTAGGTTGATTTTAACAAACCCGTGGACATTTGATTTCATATTAGAAGCAGCTAGTGATACTTGTCCACTAAGCCCACTTTCATTTTACATTTTAATTTTGTTTAACTGAACAAAATTCAAGTTTACAAAGCTTGATGTACAACCTGGGTGTCTATTAAGCAATTTAATAGGCCATTCACTCTAGGCTTCAACTGTAGAGTCCTTCAATACAGGTGTATTATGTGTTGTTGCTATTAGTGCATCTGATGTACTAGACGTCTTAAATACAAATACAATACAAAATAATACAATTGCAGAAGGGCAAGATGTCCATTTGAGCCGTGTACATATTTTGTTAAATTAATAGTAGTTTACAGCAACTGGATAAAACATTTTACTATATTATGTAGAAATATGTGCATGATTTAGAAAGTCATTAAGCTGGAAAACTGCAATATACTGCAGACTTTTCACGTTACGTTTTGACGTTACTTCGATGTATTCATTCAGCTTAGTGAAAACATAATATAGATATGTATGTACAAATAAGGACTTGAACTCTTAGAGAGCCTTTGAATGTTATTAGATTAACAAAAAGTGTTCTGCATGTTTACTAGCGCTACTCAGCCACAAAAACAATTTAATTTATCTCTAAAAAATATATTCTTAAAGTGCACTGAGCACTGAGCAGCAGCCTAAAAAAAACAAAATGCTCAAACTCGCATTGTGACATTTTTTAATTCTTCTTATATATTTCTCCAAAGATAATTCATATGCAGAAGAATTTTGTTGTGCTCTTAACGTGTCTAATAGCATCCAAACACAGAAACCTTGCCAAAAATGGTACATATCTTGACAAATTATTTGCAGTGACCTATATATCACGGACCGTGGCCCACTGGGTTGGTAACATTATTGAAAATAACACGATATTTTGGCTGTAAAAATTACCCAATGAGTAAATACTATATAAGCAGCTACTGTCATTACAGAAAGGCCATATTTCTATTAAACTAGATCACATCTTCCTTTATAGGATACGGTGTTTAACAATGCATGTAAACGTCAATATTTAGTATAACAGCCAATTAAAATATGTTTTCCTTTTTGGAAATGCCACATTGCTATGTCATTTGCATTATTTGTTGCCAATGCGAAGCCGCACGACCATATAAACGAGGAGGCCCCTAACAGTTCAAGAATAAAAGCCAACTTCACTTCAAGTATATTCCACTACACTTAACGTTCCGTAGTGAGATAAAATTGACTACTTTATGTAATTGATAAGGCTGATACAACTAACTGACATCCCCCATGTCAAGGAATTCCAGCTTTAACAGTAATCCCACAACCAATTTCTCAAAACTGTGCTAGAGGGTTATTCATTGGCACAGAAGTACCATATGAACTGATGCGACGTGATGAAGGAAAAATCAAACTTA